CCCACCCCCCCGCAAGAAGCCCCAGGAGCCCACTTTTCATGCCCACACCCCGGGATGACAGCGGGCCTGGTACCAAACTGAAGGCTGACTTTTCCACATGGAGGGGGATACGTAGGCCTGGACCCTGCCACTGGGCGGAGGAATGACTTTGAGGGTTTCATCTGCACTCTGTGTGCCCCTTAAACGCTGGGAGGGCCATGGGGTGAGGTGGAAGCCTGATCTTGAGTCAAAAAGGGAGCCAGGAAGCCTGTTACTTAGATCAAAGTCTGGCCCTCATGAGATCGAGGCCACTGTTTTACACCCTCAAGACCCACATGAGGCGAAACGCTCCCTACTTCCAGCACATCTTTATTTAAATACCAGCTATGTGTTCAGCCGCCAAAGTCATAGTGGCAACAAAAAAGTGAACATAGTTACCTTTGGAGACAGTATACAATCAATCGCTAAACTGGGTAGAGACAGAAGGGAGTAGGGTGGGACATTGAGAACTGTGATTGGTCAGGGAAGGTTCATGGGGCAGGTACTTGAAATAAGACTCAATTTGGACATTCAGGGTGAGGGCTGTGAAGGCCAGAGAAGCAATGTCTTGTGACCAGTTCCATTTTCTTATTCTCACAATTTCACATTTGATGACGGAGATGTGTTTATGTGTGTGTGTTTGGAGTAGATGGGGCAAAGAGGACAGTTAGAGAGGATTTCTGGTAGACCTTCACTAATAATTGTTTCCTTTAGTCACTCCTTCCCCCCTTTCCCTTCAATAAATGAGTCAGAAGAAGATAAAGAATATTTTCTGTTACACCCTGTGTGGAACTCAATTGGAAGTAGTCCCCCACCCCCCAATATAGTCTTCATGAACCCAGCATAATGCACTCGCTGTTGACCCTGAAAGCCTAGTTCTAAATTATTTTCCACCAAAATAAGCTTCCCAGCTACAGACTGATTCCCGAAGCCAGCAAATGGTCTCATAGGTGCCATCAATAACATGGAAAGGAGGCCTCCCGCAAGTGCTAGCCACGGAGTCCTGTGAAATTTATCAACACGCATTCCAAACCCACACTATTAAAACGCCAGGACTTCCCAAGGATAAGTTTAAGTTACAGTATGATCTTTGAATATACAAGTATTTTTACTAAATTCATTATTTGTTCTGTGAACACCAAAGTGAAGAGGAAGAAATCAAAGTGAAGTATAAAATGTACAGTACAGAATACATGAACGTAAAAATTAACCTGTTAAGTTATAATGCAAAACACAAATCATTTACAACTCACTGTAATTTGTGTTCATCTTATTTTGGGGAGAGGCACAATATTGTAGAACACACTACACAATCCCTTGTACTCCTTTGAAATGTACAATAAACTAAGCCATACCAAGCAACACACTGAAATCATAGCTAATTAACCTCTGAGCCCTCTAGAGATAACTGTAGAGCCAAGTTTGTATTTTACAGTTAAATAGACATACTTGAATAAAATCAGGAGCCGGATACCCTCCATTCCATTAGCAATAGGCCGGCTTTTAAGTCTTGATTAGGTCACAGTTACAAAAACAAATCTGTTCTTTCAAGTGGTTAGTCATTTTTCCTACTACAAGATTTACTACCTCTTCCTGGTTGATGTTTTATGATTTTTAGTTGCATCTTGCACGTCTTACCTGAGCTGGGTTGCTCTCATCCAAGGCATGGGTTGCAGGAGATGCCTTGAAATTTAGATTTTTAAAACTTCTCTTCAAATATAATAAAAAACAAAGAAAACATAGATATAAAAGTCATCAGGATGCATTTCTTACTGAAATAAGTTTTTAAAATGCCATTTATCTTGTGGATAGTACAACTAAAGCAGTTCAATAATGAGGAGAATATGTGTGGCCTGGCTCTGTGTGTGTCTGTTTTAAAGAATGCTTGTTCTTGGGGTTGCTGTTGATGTGGCCGGCAGTTACTAGAGAAACTCCACGGATCGCGTTCCCTTCATGATTCATGTCTAGGCATGCCTGGAGACCAGGAGACCCACGATTTAATCTAAGTAAGAATGCTGGGGGTGGATAAAATGCCCCAACAGAAGACGGTGTTTGTTTTAGACAGTACCAGGAAGGCACCTTTCACGGGAATTATTTACTGTTTTATTTAATTTCTGGGCTTTTGGTGAATAGGGAGGTGGGGAAGGAGCACTAAGGAAAGGAGGTGAGATTAGTGATGAGAAGGAAACCAAGAAGAGGCTAGAAAACAAACACCTTCTGCTGTAGCTTTGGCAAATTTGTATTGGCTACATTTACCACTCCTACATAAAAGACTAAAGTGATGGGGAGCTGGGAATTAACACATAAACACCATCTGAGCTTTTTCTATTTATTACAGCTTTTGAAGCATGTTAGAAAGGAAGAAGTGAAGAATTAGACTGATTAGAAATGATTGGAGTTTATCAACTTCTTTTTAGACCTGTTTTTTTTAAATGCCCATTTTCTCTTAGGAAATACAAGACCATATTTTGATTTATATATATATATCAATAAATGCCAGATTATCGTATTAACATTCATGATACTACATTTAGGAACTAGTTTATGTGTCAAAGCAAGACAAGATTGGAGTCAGTTTAGTGCCTTGAAGAACCAAACATCAAAAAGTCTGTTTCTGAGAGATTTTCTTTCTAACTAAAATGAACTGCCAGCAGTTTTTATAATCTTATAGTTCTGATTCCATTTTATTGCACTCTCATTAGTAAGAGTGCACCAGATTCTTAATTAGCTTGTATATGTTTATTGATTAATCAATAATGCTGCTTTCGATATGAAAATGTTAAATTAATCTTTTAGTAAATCAGAAACAATCTAAAAATAGGCTTTATAATTAAAGTTGTCTGAGCTCTTAGCAGAAGGAGTAAACATGTTGCATATTTACGGTCTTCAGAGAACACAGTTTAGGGATTTATGGTTTAGCTGGAGAGAGACACAATT